TTTGATATAATTCTAGATAGAAGACTACTGCATTTTTTTCCTCTTAAAACACCTATTCTAACTTCTTATGTTTATATGGATTTTTCAAGGTAAAGTACATTAGAGGTTACTGAGCTTTTAGAAGTTACAAAATGATCATTAAATTTTATCTAATTGCTATAAAATATCATTAAATTTTATCAAACATTTACAAAATGATCACTAAATTTGTCAAACTCATTATAACACTCATTATAACATTGCAGTGACCATTTTATAATAAATTGATAAATTTAGTGATCATTTTGTAAGTTTTGAAAGTTAAGTGATCAAAATATTTGTTCGAGTATAGTTTAATGGCCTTCAATGTACTTTACCTTTTTTCAAGATGGAAGCAATTTTAAAAAATATGTGATCATTTTAAACCAAAAGTGCTAATGATGTTGTCTATTTGAATTATATTATTAAAAATAGAGAATCAAATTATGTTAGATTGAATATTGTGATTAAATCTCAATTTTAAGCATATTAGAAGGACCAAACCATAATTTGACCGAAAAAGTCATTAGCTTTGATGGTTCAATCAATCCTTACTCTAAAATGATACTAATGTCATTAGCACAAATTAATTCAGTTTACATTATCTAAAAAGTTGTGAATTTCTAAAATGATACTGATGCCATTAGTACACGGGTTAAGCATATAAGATTGAATAAAAAATAGGATAAATTACACATTTAGTACCTAAATTTTCAGTTTTGGCCTATTTTAATACCTAAATTTCAATCTTTTTAAAATCATACTTAATGTTTAATATTTGTTTTATTTTAGTACCACATTGTTAAAAACTTAATGTGCTTAGTGCCTAAATTATTAGTTTTGGAACGTGTTAATACCTAAACTTTCAAATTGTTTTAAAAGTTAATGTTAAATTTTGAACAGTGATATTAAAATGAAACAAAAACTAAACTTTAGATATGATTTTAAAAAATTTAAAAGTTTAGGTACCTACACAACGTAAGAAATCAAAAACTTGAAATGAAAATAAGGGTAATGAGTCATACTTACGGATTGCATGCATGGCCTGGGAATTCAGAATGTCAAGTTTCCTCATCTTATGAGAGTAGCTCTTGTAAAGCTGTTGGATCTCAGCAATGTGATCATATCTTTGGTCAATTTGCAGTGGCCCGATCACCATGTTTGGGGACTCGAAATCTTCTAAAATAGTTGCAAGTCCACCTGTTCTCGCAATCTTCACTTCCATTTTCAGCCGCTCCATCAAATCATCACCGTGCTCCCAACCAAACTCTGAATCTTCATCGTCTTGCATGATGCTTGGTCCTCTGCTCTTTTCTGGGGAAACCATCGACTCCGCTTCTTTATCATCTTCTTCAAATATTGTTGCTTTGTCACATGAAGTCCTTGCGTTCCGTTCATGGTTTTCGTGTTCCACGTTTTCCAAATACTTGTCGATTACGGAACTCTCAAAAAAGTCACCCGTTTTCTGCTCTGCAACATGTTGATCATCTTCTGATTCAACCTCTGCAATGAAATTCACAACTGATTCCTCTGTTTTTTCTCTGACAACATCTTTGATGTCTTGTTCTGTCTGCTCCATAGTTGTTTCAACAACAGAATTCCTGACATAATCCTCAACCGCCTCTTCTTCTTTGATATGTTCCTCAAAGTCGAAACTCTTTTGAAAGGAAAACCTTAGAGCACATTCCTCTATTTTTCTCTCAACCTCAACCTCGACGTTCCCAAAATCAGCACCAACAGGGTCCGACGAATCAAGGATTCCACCGTTGCAATTGGCGGAGTCATTTGAGCCCATATAGAACCCATGCACGGTAAGTCTCTTTGTCGTTGGTTCTTCAATGACTCCGCTAATACTTTTCCTATACAGAAACTCATACTTTCTGGTGCTTGCCGCCATGACAAAACTCTCTCCTTCTATGTTTCCTTGATCAACGACCTGATCATTGCCACGTCTTTCGTTTTGCTCGTAAAAGTTTGAGCCCAAATCCTGGAGGTATCCATTAATCGGCCACCTGGAAAAGACCCGAACAAACAGATAAAAGCATTAACTTAAAAGGAAATATAACACTTAAATAAACATAAAAAAAGAGTGTTAATACCTGAAGAATGATCCAATGAATTTGAGGAGGAAAACCCAGAAGAAAGTAACGACTCGAAACATGTTTCGAAACACGAAAACGAAATCAAAATGAGTTATTTTCAACGTGATGAATATGTTGGCACCCATTGATTCAATCGACCTTCTCATTTCTCGACTTTAAGCACAGCTACAAAAAAAGTAGGACGGTCCACTTGTTTAGGAATGGAATCTTTGGAGTTAAGTTGATTGTCGAAAGGCCAAACTTTGGCCAGCACATCTATTTTAGAGAAATGGAAAAAATGAAAGCTACTTCTCTAATGGGAAAAAATATTTTTTTAAGATTATAATTTTCTTAACAATTGATTATAAAATTATATACGTTAAAACAATTACCCTTGCATTCGCGTATTCATGGGTGCTTAAACCCATGGTCATTAAGAATAATAATATTATTTTAACCATTAAGATAAGATGGTTCTTATAATCGTCAGTATTATTAATTTTATTGATTTAATTTTTATTTTTTTAATTCATCAAACAAACGATAAAGACTTGAAAAGGGCCGGATGGTGGCTAATGTTAGAACTCTTTGTTTGAGCAAAAGGCTCTTTCTTTTTGACGAGAATTATGTATGGGATTTGGTCGGTGTTTGGAGTTAAAGTTTTCTTTTCTTTTTATAATAATTTATAAAGTGTATTTTAATTCTAACCCAACGTGGGATTTCAATACATAAATATATGAGATCACTTTATTCGGTAACAAATAACTTCATCAATAGCAATGACCGGCAAACATCTTAGCGTATAAATTCATATTATTAATAAATAATATTTAAATTATTAAATTTTCAAAAGAATTTTAAATTAAAATATTTTTGTTTTTAAATTTATTATAACAAATAACATTTATTAATAGAAAAAACGATATGATAATACTAAACATCAATAATATTTGATTTTTCATGGAGGAAATTGTTGTCCGAGAATGTTTCATGACACGAATCATTGTAATGGGAAAAGGGTCGTGATCTAAATATGCCATGGCATGCATGTTTCAGAACAAACATCATTGTTAATGAAGAACTAATAATTAATAAACACTAATTTTCTTCTTCTTATACTGTCTTGGCTCTTGTTTGCCAAATGGCAATAGTTTATGCACTGCAATAAAAATAATTATGTATATTCCTTTAAAAAAATATTTGTTTATCAGTCCATTAAGCTGATGACAGATAGGTTTAAATATAGAAGAGAAAAGGAATTAAAAATCTTGGACCGACCAAGGGACCAAAGGCCAACCAACGAGGAATCAGCACATATTCCTGCGCGTCATAAATGCAGCCTTAGCCTGGGAATTCTTAGGGAGAATTGTTCTCCTCTGTACCAAATATCCATCACTCCCCAAAGATGCCAATTCTCTACAAACTTGGATGGGTTGATAAGCACTTAATTTTAGATAATAATAAAAACATGGAATCCAAAAATAATTTAAGAACTAATGTGTAAAAGATAATCAAATTCAAGGACTAGACAAAGATTTATCCCTTTCATTTTTAAATTTTGATCGAATTGAACTGATTAGACCCAGTGGGTCATCCGAGACACGATCAGATTTTGACCGAGTGGGTCATCCGAGACATGTTTTAATAAGGCCTAAACGATGCCATGGTAAAAAAATTAGCTCATTAGATTATTTCTAAAATTAATTTGGGATTTACGATAAATGTTATAGTGCAAGGCGAACTGATCACACCCACATAATTTTTATTCAAGTTTTTCACGTCCACATAATTTTTATTCAAATTTGTTACATTGAAGTGACGAATTTCAATAAAATATATTTTTTTATTAGATTTTATCATGTTAGAGTGACAAGTTCCAATAAAAAATATATTTTATTAAAACTCGTCATGCTCATGTGATGAGTTCGTAGTAATTGTAACAAATGTCATACTTCTCAAAATAAAATATCTAGTATCTTATTATGTTAAATAATTAGCTCGTCTACTGTATTGGGTCAAAATTGCCCTCGTTTGCTAAATATAGGGCTTGAAAACATTTAATGAATGTTGGGCCTAATCTCACACCACTGTCCCAATCCCTGTCCCTTCATCCTTTGCTGCCTTTTAAACAAACAATTAAAGAAAATCTATCAGAAAGAAAGAAAGAAAGAAACTAAATTTGTTTAATGCTTAATCACCCATTTTAGAAGCTTAAACACCGCCATATAAGATTAAGGCTTTTCATTTTATGTCAACAACCAATAAATTTAGTAAAAGCTAATCATTATGTGTGTACACATACTAGTTAGTATTAATAGCCGACACTTCCTTGAAGGGAGAGCAGTTGTAGGTTGGTCCATGTTTGATGGAAATTTAAGGCTGCCATGCCCTCCAAGACAATATTGAAAAAGAGAAGAAGAAATGTAAAAAAATTGGGTGGAAATGTACTGCAGATTTAGTATTATTATATGTGACCAAATAAGTAACTTGGTTTTGTTGCTCATCATCATTAGGCAAAAGGATCAAAGTATTATTTTATATTACCTTAACTAATCAAACACTGCTTGGCTTTAAGGAGGTGGATTAAGTAATAGATTCCAGACATAAATAGAAATGTTCAAATCTATACCATCCATCAAATTTGTAAAGAATCATGGAAAACGACGAATTAAAACAATTAAAAAATGTGAAGGGTTTGGGGTTTAAGTCATTCAAGGTATACCAAACTCAAAAGCAGAGATAACTATACTGTTTGCATATTCAGGACATCACCTAGTCTGAACAAAACCAGCAGCTCTTGGACAAATTAAGACAGATTAACAGATGATATAAAACTAAAGGAAACTATCACCTCTAAGATTCAAAACAAAGAACAATGACAGAACTAAAAAGCTTGTTGAATTCTATAAATTTATTGGGTTAAATTAAGATGTAGAAGAAGAGCCATTGTTAGTAACATGAAGCTGAATACAAGACTTATTGCTGTTGTGGTTGACATTATTGGAATCAAAACTATTTCCAGCATTGGCGTTCCCGTTATCATCTTCATTGTTGTCTCCACTAGTACTGTTGTTGTTGCTGCAATCAAGATTGAGGTTACCGACAGCTAACATGTCTTTCTTACCAAAAGTGTTCTTGTTGTTGTGCATCCAGACCTTGAGAACCCCTCTATCCACTCCCACTTCATTGCAGAACTCTTTTATCAGCCTTTCCTCTCCCCTTGGAATCCTCCAACCAACCCTCTCTGCAAAACCATGCATCTTTTCTTTCTGTTCTTTGCTGAACTTTGTCCTTGCCCTCTTCCGGGTGTTGGTGCTGTTGTTTTTGTCAGTGACTTCAGCCCTCTGATGGTGGCACTCATCCAAGGGCGGCCCTGAGTACCCGGTTCTCAAGGCCAGCAGCATGTGGGGTGCAGAAGAGTAGTAAGAGTAAGGGACACGTGAGGGTGGGCTGTTCGTTGGGCTTGGACTTGAGCTAGGAGGGTTAGGCAGCGGTGGCGGTGGCAGGTGATGGAGGAAACCGGGACCGTCATAAGGATCACGGCGGTGGAAGTTGCGGTGGCAACCACAGACTGCACATTTGAAGGATGCAGGGTCCGATTGGGTAGGCATGAACTCGCCACAACCATCAAGCGAATGTCCACCCAAGCTAGCGGCATGGTTTTTGAGGCACTCTTTGTAGGAAATCACCATTGGCTGCTGATGGACGAGGAGCGACAAAGCCTTGTTGTTGTTGGGGTGTGCATCTGATGAAGACTCGGATTGTGCGTACGGGGTGGTTTTAGTGTTGTTGATTACCTCCGTTTCTCTAAAAAAAACAAGGTGAAAGCTTGATGGGGGTTAAAGGGTGGACCTTTTTAGTGGGGTTAGGGTTTTGCTAAAAAGCTCAAGAGAATTCCTTTTCTCTTGGTCTAAAAGTGGTGAATAATTGAAGAGAAGCTTGTTTGATCTAATTATGATGATGGATTGTTACAATGACAAGTTATTGCACTCCCACCCACTTGACTTAATCTTTCAGTAAATCATCTTGTTTTATGAACAAGAGTTTTGGTTGCCCTTGTTTCCAATATTTTATTTTAATTAATTTGAATCGAGTCGGATCATACATCTAATTATAATAAGTAAATCTTTCGATAAAATATTTTTACATACGTAAAAATTCAAACTAAAAATATATTTAAATGATATTAAATTAATTATCATTTGAACCGTTAATTAATCCTTATATTTATATTATAATTAGAAAAAGTTAAAAAGGATCAAGGGTAGGGGCCATGTGAAGGCATCCCTTTAATGACAAATCAGTCTCCTCTGCTTCCACGTGTTAATCGAAAAGCAAAAGCAAGACAAGTTATGTTTTTATTATTTATAATAAGCTTTCTTTTCCAATAATAAACCTATTCTAACCCTTTCATGTTTTTTAGTGAGAAATTAGTGACTAACAGAACATGCATGTGTCGTGTAATATTTTTATCTCTCCCTGTAATAGGCGGTGCTCTTATCAGAGTACAAATCAACTAGTTGAACCTGTAATTATTTGTTCATAAATAGAGTAGAATACAATAAACTCATGAACCAAAGACTAGAGTACCACATAGATTAAAGATAAGGACAATTAAGTTAAAACGTCGGCAAGAGATATGGGATGGTTTGGTCGGCTCCTTTCCTAATGAAAACATAGTAGTTATGGTCTGGTTCTGTCTTTTATGTTTTGCAAACTCACCACAATCCTCGTTCTTCAATCATGCTTTTTTATTTAGAATCTAAGAAACAAATCTAATAGCCACAATCAGATTAGCGGAGTACAGAAGCGTCAAAAATCAAATCCCTTGTAAAACTTTGGCATGATCACATTAATTGCTTTTCCTAATCTTGAAATGAGAGTAGGATATGAGTCTTAATCACTTTCAGGGCACGAAAAATGACAAGACAAGAGTTCTAAATCAAGCAATAAAAGACAATTCAATGTTCAAAGACACTAGGATTAAGCAATAAAAACAATTGTCTTAATCACAATCATGTCATAATTCATCAAATAAGCACGCGCATTAGTGTACTGTTTGAAATTAGGGTGTGCATGATAAGGTTGGTCGGATCTTTTTTCACTTTATTCTCCGCCCGAAAAATAATCTATAAAATTAGATCGAATCAAAATTCATTGATTTCAATGAAATTGAATTCGATTTTTTTATCAAATTAGATCGTTTTAGATGAGTAAGAACAAAGCAGCTGTAAATTATTATTATTATTCTCCGTGAAGCAGACCCTGCAACTGGTGTTTTTCAGAACAACCAACAAGAGGGTTATTGTCCCAACAATGGGGCATTTGTTACCATGTCCTAATTGAGGGGGTTGGTTTTAAGGACTCGAAGTGCCCAAATTCAATGCCTATGACAGCTAGTAGGACTAGAAGTGGTCCTTAATTTCCCTGCTGAAGCACCTCGTGTTGTATCAATCTTCCCCACTCTTTTTCAATCTATTGAACCAGAGTTGTAATACCCTAAATCCGATTGGGCCTAGAGTGTTACACTAGGTTGTCGAAGCAACCCCTGATCCTCAAAACCTGTTTATTTCCTTTTTAAATGTACTTAATGGTATCATAGTAAAACATAAACAATTGTTATAAAAACATTTTACAAAATCAAAGCTCCGTGACACATGATTTAAATAAAAATAATATATCTGGAAGTTCACAACTCAAATACATAAGGTTCTATGAATACACATGTCTACTAAAGTTACAGTACAATATTCTGTCGGAGATGCTAGAAGTCCTACGGCAACAGTGCTCCACGAGCTGCTCAAGCTACGGACCTACCAAAGGAAAACATCTGAAGGGTGAGCTTACAAAGTTTAGCAGTATAATCGCTACTCTAGAACAACATAAGAATTTCATAAACTAAAGCATGCTAGAGACATATTACTAAGCATGTAGGTACAAGCATGATTCCAATCAATGCTACCTACGTAAGGTCCTCCAGCTCTATCTCTCGAATTTACGTCTCATGCTTCTCTTAGTCTTCGCTAAGAGCCCCGCCATGAGTATATAAGTACTAAGTCTCTAACCTCATTATCATCCTATAATGCATCACAATGCCAAACACAAAGACAGTACCCGGTATCACAGAGACGCTGGTACTATCACTCAACAATAAGTAAGCATTGTGGTGTAGCTCGGGGTTACATAGCATCACATAGCTCACACCCATGTTTGCTTAATAGAGGTACCTTGGGTAGACCTGGGTCACACAACATCATCATCTCCCAAGTATCTCAGGTGAGGTCCAGGTCACATAGCATCGACACCTCCCAATACCTTAGGCTAGGTCCGGGTCACACAACATCGGCACCTTGCACGACTAGTATACTCCTATTGAGTACTCGGAACCTGATTGAGTCACACAACATCAGTACCACGTTCAACTAGCAACTAAAGTGCATCTTGTACTGACTTGGAAATATCCGAATATCCTATGCACATAAGACGACCGTCCTAGTGCTAAAGTAACTCGGGTGTCCTCACCATTTCCCGAGCGACACACCAAGGCATAAATCTTATGGAATCTTACCTCATAAGGCTTTTATGGCTATCACACAATTAATGTTATTATCTCATTATTATTATAAGGATCTCATCTAGAGCATCGTTTAACACACGTCAACTGATGCCACACTGCAGCAGGCGAAGTAGCTCGATCACTTGCTACTGAACTTATTGAAGCCAGGTGAGGTCATATCCCCTTTACCCGAGACTATCTCGCTCATCCTCTTGCCTAGGACGTGATGGGATGTATATTAATACTTATAGGGTAGTTTACTCATTTCTACCTCTGAAGAGATCTTTAAGCGTTTCATAATTTCTCGGTGATTATGATGCTTGCAGTACACTGACTGATTCACTGGTTAGCCCAATACCTGACTCGAGCTCGTTACAGGGTAACAACACTCCTAAAGCTCTTATCGTACTTCTCCAAATACCCCCTGAAGTAGTGGAATGGCATCCATTTTCGATTCACTGACGTTCTTGAAACACCTCACTCTTCGTCGATACTGGATCTGACATGTTTATCGTACCGCTCATTGGGTACCTCATGTACTGATCCTCAATCCGAACTATCTATATATGTCATCGATTAAAGATACTTTGGTGTATTACGCTTAATATGGTTATACCCGATGCAACCTACTCCTACGGATGTTTTTAGGTATGTTGGGTCATTTATGTCCCTTGCGGACTAAGTATTTCTATTACGGATCATCCTTAGATCTTACGGACCATAAACGGGTCAAAAAGAACATTCAACAACACTTAGGACCTTTAATGAATACAAATTCATCCTTATTCATCGAGCAAAATAGATAAGGGATCAATCATTTCTTTCGAGGGATTGATCTTTTTCTCCAAGGGATCGATCCTTTTCTCCATGGGATCGATCTTTTATCTCGAGGGATCGATCCTTTGCTGGATAGAAACTTTGGGATCGATCCCTTTTCAAAAGGATCAATCCTTTTTCTGGGAATGACTTGTCTGAGCTCGAGAATCACTCAAGAATCACTCCAAACGACATGAGTTGGTTTATAAACTTATTCAAAAGCTTTAGTAAGTTATTCAGGGTCTTAAGTCATCATTTAAACATATTATTAATACCTAAAATATGATTTGGTTGAGAAATTAAAGATAACCCCTAAAATGTTCAAATCACCAAATCTTAGCAAAAACCATAGATTTATTAAACCTTAATACTCCAAAGGATTAGATATACACTGCATTGATCTTAGAAACCCGAAATGAAACTCCTTTGGCTACCAAACACTCTCCTTTTTTACTTTGTTGATATTCCACCATTTTTTCCGCAAACCAACAAAGATACAAGTTTATTATTACATAAGGATGTTATAAGAAGTAAGAGGGGCGGATTTGAGACTTAATCAAATTAAGAAAATGAAATCTTACCACCACTTGAGGTTATGGAAGCTTGGAGAGGGATGAAGAAGAGAAAAGAAGATGATGAAGAGTTGTGTGGGAGGAACCCACATCCAAAACAAAATAAAAACCCTAAAATCGGCTTCCAAATTCCTTAATGGTCTAATTGCATTTTTGGTTCTTCCTATTTTGTCTCATATTCAAAAAAACCCCTTTTTATAGCTAATTATACCCTAAATTCAACCCAATTAAGCCCAACAACTTAATTTATAAGGTCCACTTATCTCTCGAGTAAACCCAAAATTATTAACAAGTAATTTGGGGTGTTACAAGGTTCTTTGGTCCAATGCCACTAATACTTTAAGTGATTTGGACCCCACAAAGACCCTGCTTTTTATTATATTTAAATATGTTAGAGATTGTTAAATTATACTAAATATTTTTTGTTAGTCAGTAAATTTAATGATATCTAGTATACTTTACCATTATATATATTACCACAATTTACAAAGTCCTTTTATTTTGGGAGTTAGGGGTGGATCACCAGCATTCACCTAATTGCATTTATGTGCTTCTATCGAATGAAGATAAGATTTCTTAAAAGGTTAAAAGGGAACAAAATATTGAATATCTTGAGAGCCTGCCATAGGGTAAAATGAAGATCAAGATCAAGATGGAGATCGGATTTGGATTTATCCGAATAGGTTTCGGGTTTCTCCGATAAGTTAAACGTTTTCCTGGTGGGGAGTCACCGCAGGTCCTGATACTACCGCAAAATGCACGCCCCTACGTTGCCCAGATTGTACTACAAAAGCAATCTAGGTGGCAGCCAATGCCGCTGCTTCCTTATACAGATAATGAACACATTTCGATAAGAGGTCCGGAGAAAAGCAAGAAGGATCGGTAAAATGAAAAAAAGGAAAGTTTTTGTTAAGTCATGAAATAATAACCTGTCTTTGCCTTCGTTGTTGTAATATACTGATGGCCCATGCCATGATGTAACACGGCAAGAGAAGCCCAGCGGCTCGGAGTAAGAAAAACTGCAAGAAACCAAACAGTTTTAAGATCCATGCCTCCACGGTATTGTAATTGTAATGCATAATGTTTAAGAAGCGCATAGGTGAAATACAGGAATGCAACTATACAAGCAAAAAGTAAAGACTTTCAGAGAAAAATGAAGACAGATCGTCATCTGAATCGGCATCTGGAACAGTTACTGTGTGCCGCAACAGTAGAAGTGGCATTAACTGAAACAATGGGGGAAAATCAACCATCTTAAAAAAACGAGAGCAAAACTATCCTATCTCCTAAGAACATAAAGATCTTCCAGTTAAAAAGTTCGTACACCTTAGCAGGGTTCTTTTCTCCATATTAATTTATCGAAACGATTCCTTGAACATGACAATATGTATTTATAAATTGAATTGATGATGGTCCAACTTTACGGCAAAAATGTTAAACTCACTTAAATGAGGTGTTTTGCAGTCCTTGCCAAACATGACTTGTATGAAATTCAATAAGTCCAGATGATTTATTTATAGCTAAATGCTTACAATTACAGTAGCTGAACCTGCAAAATGCATCTCCAGTGGCACTTGATGCAGCATATTCATCATACCCAGTTTCCAAAAATTGGCGCTCTCTCTCTCTGCAATGGCCAAAATGTGAGGATCACGCAAATCCAGAGGGGTGCCAGAGATTGTCCAGCCTCCACTACAAGATAGATATGTAATCATTATGATGGAATCTTCCGAACAGGTCATACAATTGCTTTCTAGTGGATATCATTTCTTATAGAAAATGATACAAGAGACGATAGAAAACTTACCCAATATCAATAGTTGTTTCTTCCGTTCGGGGGTAAGGTGCAGCAGTGTAATCAGATTGATAAGGCTACAGAGTAAATTAAAAAACGGACTATTTCAACAAGGAGCCAAAATAAACAATTCATTGGTAAATTAAGATAAAAAGGACTGATTTTAAAAACAGGAGATTATCTTGTAAGTATGCATGCCTAACATTTCTTACATTTCCCCCCTCTATCCTTCAAATTCGGAATGATTCATTAAGCATTAGGAGGAAAATAACAATCTTGACTACAAAAGACACTCCAAAATTCATTTCCTTTCCTTTTTTCACTCCACCGAGCTCATCGTAAAAGCAAATGATTCGCCTTCTTAGAGAATTAGTATCAACTACTTACTCAAAATCCTGAACTTTGAATTCTTTAAAGAAACTAAAGGCCTAAACGTTGAGTTCAAAATATTTAAACAACATAAAATGATATCCAGTAGTAAGTATATCTCCTTTTTGAAGGATTAACAGAAGTAGATATCTGATGACATATCTCGCAAGTTATATCTCCCTTTTCGTTGCACCAATGCTGCACGCACTTCCTATGAGCATACTGCAATTCAGAACATATCAAACTCAACAATTTCCATCATAGGAATATTTCATCTTGATCAAGGTTGAGAAGCGAATCTCAAGGTGTGTATGCTTCTGTTCTGCTAGTCTGAAAGGTGTGAATTCGGTATGGATATGAGATTTGGTTCGGCCTAGAGGGATAAGGTTGGATGCATAAATTACTATGGTTTCCCTTGCACATTCGTAAGCACTCCATTATTGGGTGGATGGCCAATTTGGGAAGGCTTCCCACAAAGGATAGACTTTTGAATATGGGGATTGTGTTGGAGGGAGGATGTTTTTTTGTGACGGATTGGAAATCAGAGATGAAGATACTAATTTTTTTATCCATATTATTATTATTATTATTATTATTATTATTATTATTATTATTATTATTATTATTACTATTATTATTATTATTATTATTAGTATTATTATTATTATTAGTATTATTATTATTATTATTATTATTATTATTATTTATTATTATTAATATTATATATTATTATTATTTAATAAATAATTACAAAACTGGACCGGCCCAGTTACAAACAAACCAGAACCGGCCCAGACCAACCGGAAACCCTAAACATTTAGGGTTTCAGCTAGGGTTTCTAAACCCTAGCCCCCCCAGCCGCCTCTGATGCTTCCAGAAGCCCAGCCGCCGCCTCTGCTCAGCCGCCACTTCCACGTTGACGCTTCAGCTGCTGCCACACCGCCATCAGTGCCACGCCATCCCCTCGAAGCCTCCAGAAGCGCCTTGTCACCACCCAAGTTGCTGCTCTAGGGGTGAGTCACCATATAGTTTGGTGACTCACCGAAGCTTCCCTCTCGGGACCGGTCCGACGAGAGCCTCAGTGGTGGCTATAAAAGCCA